ATATTACATATAGTAAACAAATTCATTATGTTTGATATATTTATTTAAACTTTTTTTGTTTCACATTCTTATTGAAAATTGCTTTTTCTAGCACTGAATGCATTTTTTATGACATTTAATGCATTTTTTTCTTCTCGTGCTATTTAGTATTGGCAATTAACTTTGAATTCAATAAGAAATTTAGGACATATATTTTAGTTGTTGTTTTGCTCTAATGGTTGAAAGAAAATTTTGGATAATTAATAAAATGCAGGTTGCAAATGTTGTATAGTCTAATTTCTCTTTTCATTATAAGCATATATTACTCTGAACTACAATTTAAAAGAATAAGATGAGTTTATTTTTGCCTACTTGAAATTTAAGTTAATTGAGACAACAATTTAAAGTTATTAACACTTTCTATTATTGATGACATTACACACTTTCTATTATTTAAATGTTTTCCATTTATCAGATATATGTTTCACTGCTTCAAGTTTTAGAAGAATTTTCTTTCATTATAATTTTTATCAATTAGTTCAAATTTTTTTCCTTCAAAAATTTTCTCTCATCTTTGTAGGGTGACAGTGTAGCCTTGGTAAGGTCATAATCAAACTTAGATTTTATAATATTAATGATTTTTTTCATAATCTTTTGTCACATGATTTTATGTTTGTTTAGCTACCTTTAAAAGAAATAAAAGATAAGATTTTCTTTATATTCGTTTCTCTTAGTATCAGCCTATACTTCATATGAAAACAAAAGAACAATGATCATTTTACCGCTTTCAGTCATTCCCAACATGATTACCTTAGACACTCTCTTTTGCTCTAAAAATATGGATTAAAGGTAAGCAAATGAACCTTACATAACTGAATTAGCATCATTGTTTCTTCAAATACATTTAAACTTGAAGAAATATTAAAATGAATTTTACTGTTACCTTTTTTAAGCACTAAAACAAATGCAGATATCTTTATTATTACATTTTCATTTTAAATTAATCTATAATGCAATTAGAAGTTTTTAAATTTTGATTACATTTATGGTAAAGAACTATGTAACCCTGTTTTCACTATGAAAATATAGAGAAAAAAGAAAGTTGGCAAGATGGGATTAGTACCATTATGGTATTATAATTTTTTAAAACAAAAAAATATTTTTTTTTGGTTTGTTGTTCTTTTTTTTATAAATCATTTGAGAAATGATATATAGATCTTTAATCTTATTAGATTGATCTTTATCGATCTTGATTTGTCAAGTTTGCTTAATATTAGTGTGGAGCTTTGCTATTGTTTTGTTGTGAATAATTGATTGCTTATATAAGCATGTTAAGATCGATTTAATCTTTAAAACACAAATTTTGTATATTATATATATATAAACAATGATAGGATGAAGATAAATAAAAAAGTTAATGACTTTCTATTATTATATAAATGTGAAGAATAGTTTTATTGCATTGATATTAATATATATTAAACAATGTAAAAAATAATTTTTTAAAAAAAATGAAATAAAAAAATTCTTTAACATATATGAAAGTATGTAAAAGAAAATAAAATACTTTTAAAAAGCATTAAAATAAAATTAAAAAAAAAACTCCCGCAACAACGTGCAATTGAAATTCTAGTTTATATTTTTAATTTTACAAATGTACAGTCAGCTTTCCCCCTTATATTGTGCCACATGGCACCAGTTCTTTCTTTTTTTTTACTTTTTACTTTTTTGTTTTTTTCTCAAATATTTTTTTAGTTTATAAAAATTTTATAAAGATTTTTAAAGATTTCCATTTTTTAAATGGTATTTTCTTTACCAAGTTTTTTTTTCCTTTATATATATATATTAAATTCATTCACTAAAATAAATTTTGTTTTATACGGATGTCAATTTGAGTGCCACGTTACGCTTTTCAATTTTTTGTTATTTTTAAAATTTTTTAAAATTTTATTTTTTATTTTTTTATTTACAATCCTTTTAAGTTACGTCACGTGCCACTTGTTAACTTTCTTTTTTATTTTTGCTTATTTAGTTTCCCTATTTCTGAATTTTTTTAATATTTTAATATTTAATAAATATTTCTTAAAATTTAAATTTTTATATGAGACCTATTTTATGTCAAATTGTTTTGGCTTTATATATATATTAAATTTTTTAATAAATATTTTTTTAGATTTTAATTTTTTTACGTGAAACTTTTTTGACACCAAAGATATTCCGTGTATTAATAATTTTTTTCTCTTTTTTTTCTATTATTTTCCTTTTTATATATTTAATAAATTTTTTAGAATCAATTTTTTTAACTCACTTTCTCTTTCTTTCTTTTCTAGTTTATAAAGCCTTTTAGGAGGAAGCGTCGCATTTTTTGTTTTTTATTATATTTAATTTTTATATATTTAATAAATAATTTTTTAATTTTAATTTTTTTTGTCTCCCTAACTTGATATTAGGGGTATAGCATTTTTCAATTTTTTTTATTTTTCTTCTTTTTTTCCTTTTTAATTATTTATATTTTTTAATATTTGAATTTTTTAGTGTAAGATCTATTTGATATTACTGACTAAAAAAAATTTTTTTTTCATTTTTTTTTAATTTGATAACTTTTTAAAGAAAAATTATATTAGGAAAATTTTATTATTATTGATATCGCATAACAACTTGATTTTTTTTCCTTTTTTGGTTTTTTGTTTTTTTTTATTATTTTCTTCTTTTATTTTATTAATTAGATTATTTTATTGCAAAAAGCTTATAAATGTGTACACGTGATGACATTCCGTTTCGTATTTTCTTTTTACATTTTTTTTATTAGACAATTTAAAACATAAGAAATCAATAAATAATTTTTTTTTTTTTAAATATCAATGGAGGTATAGTAACAGAACAACCCATATTCGTTAGATTTGGATTTGTAAGGATCGGATAGATGAGCTTTCTTATTTGATATCGAATTGATTTTTTTTCAAAAATCAATATAAAGTCAAAAGCCAATTTATGGTATTCCATGTTGCCTTATCTATTATTTTAAATTATTTATTTAATTTATGTTTTTTATATTAATAAAAATATTATTTAATATCTTATTTAATAAAAATATAATATTTATACATAATTAAAATATAATATATCCATTATATAAAATTGACTCTTTGACTTTTATTTAATCCTCTTTAAGGTCTCGACATGCTTACTTATGTTTTTCTTTTCTCTTTGTTATGCCCTTTTTTAGCTTTTTTGTTTTTATTTTTTATTTTTATTTAAATAAATTTTGTGAAAAAAGAAAAAAAAAAACTATGTAACCATCCACATGGCATCCCAATTTTTTTTTTTGTTTTTTTAATTAAATAAATTGAGATGTCCACATAATACCTCAATAAACTTTTTCTTTTTTATTTTTTTGTTTTTTTGTTTCATTTTTTTGTGTGTTTATCTTATTTTTTATTAAAGTAATTTTGTGAAAAAAAATTCAATTAAGGTGTCGAAATTGTACTCATTTTCGTTTCTTTTTCCTTTTTCATATTTTTTTGTATTTTTTAATTACATAAATTTTACAAAAAAAATGTGTTAATTGTTAAAGATGCTAAAAAATTAGTATCTATGAGTTTTGATCCATTTTAATTTAACAAAGGATGATCTTTTTAATTAAAATTGATTTTAGACAAATTGAGTTCTTATAAAAAAAAAGAGCTCAGGTTAAAAGCAAAGCCTATTTAAAGTACTTTGTCCTTACCCATTCAAGATATAAATAAAATTATATTTTTTGTTATTGATTTAATTTTATACATATATGCATTGTATTAATAAAATTATTTTTTAGTTTAATTTAAAAAATTAATATTTTTAACTTAATATGGATGTCAATGTAAAACTCTGTGAGTATTTTTTTTAATTTTTTTGCATTTATTCTTTTTATTAAATAAATTTTATAAAAATAATTAATTTAGATATCCACGTGTATTTTATTTATTTTTTGTTTTTTAATTAATAAATTTTATTAAAATATATGATGAATAGAAATAATAAACAAAAAAAATTATCGATAACGCGCAGGCATTTTTCTGATCTTACATAAAATCTACCAGAAAGCGAGAAGCATCCGGTTATTTTAAGACCTTTCAACAGATGTCAGAAGCAGGACTCCAATTTCGTTCTGCTGTAGACTTCGCATTCAGATTCACATTATCTGAGCAAAAATTCAGACAGCATAGTTCCTGGGATTCTGAGGACTTTTTCAATCAAAATGTTAGAATTCATTACAAAATATTAGTAAAATACAGAGTGGCTTGTTCAAACATTCAAACCCATTGCTTTGTCCACTGTCAATGGAGTCTTGGCCACGGTGTGACGACATCAAAGTTTCTTCTTCAGTAGCCTCTGCTCTTGGCTTGTTCGTATTCATATTATCGTAACTTTTCCAAATTATAAAGTCCAAATCACAGGGGAAATTATAGGAATAGAAGGATTACTGTTTTCTAGAAGGGCAATCAATTTTAAACAATGTTATAAAAAAAGATCATCCCCAGAATTTAAGACTTTGAATTATTTTTTTGAATTAAAAACAAAATCAAGCCATCAAGCAAATAGTTAACATCTGATGAAGCACATGTCAAGAGCAAGATTTTGTGTTGTAAATCTAGATAACATTCCTTTTTTTACTATAGTTGTTAGAGTAGATAAAGTCTTATAATTATTTGATAAATCTCTTAATTTTAGATTTAATACGAAAATAATATAAAAATATATAAAATGATATGTTTTAAAATTTTGACATATATCATGTATCAATTTGATAAAAATAAAAACATATATTTTATATTTATTAAATTACGTATTAATATAAATTATAATATAATAATTTTTGTATTTTAGATGAAACAAATCATACTAGATTTAGTTATTAAACTTGAGGTTAAAAAAATGACCTTGGGCCCTAAACTGAATTTGAACAGTCAATGCCGAATAATCGCTTGTGTGCCATAACAACAACAATATATAAACGTTTGCCAAGTTCAGCTTAGCCCAAACATAAGTACTAGTGATGCCAGGTCATGCTCGACCCAAGCCTACGCCCATAAGACTACACATGGCCATCGTATAATGGATGCAAGGATTAGAAAAACACTGCGGGAAAAAATTGATAAAAAAAAATAGTACCAAAAGCTAACAGCAAACTAATTATTTAATCAATCAATAGTTGCAATGGAAGGGTCAGGAATGGCCTATGGGGAACTTACAAAGGAACTAAGAAGTGGAGGGTCTGGCACGTTAACAGTCCCTTCCAGCATCAACATAACCTTTTTCATTGACGGTCGAGATGATGGTTCATCTTGGGCGCACCATAGCCCCACCTTAACCATCCTCTCAATCTTACACCTCTCCACTTCTTCATTTCGCACCAGCTTCTCCAGTTCATTAGCCTTGAAACAATCGTAGACCCAGTTTGCAAGAACTGCTTCATTCTCTGGAACATCCGCCTCCACCTTCCTTCGACAACAAATGATCTCAAACAACATTATTCCGAAGCTATATACATCTACTTTCACTGTTATAGGCAAGTTAGAATGCCACTCAGGGGCAACATATCCCCTTGTTCCTCTGATTCCTGTGTATGTCCTGGTTTGGCTGGGCATCAATAGCTTTGCTAATCCAAAATCTGCAATTTTTGCATACCCTTTGTCGTCCATCAGGATATTTTCAGGTTTGATGTCGCAGTGGATGATCTGAGTTTCGCACTCTTCGTGCAAGTAGAAAATTCCTCCGGCTATGTTCAACACTATTTCAATTCTTCCCTCCCAATTTACCCTTAATTTCGATTTGAAGAGAAAATCTGCAAGTGAGCCATTTTTCATGTACTCGTACACCAGAAGCCTGTTAGTCCCATCATAGCAGTAACCAAGCAATTGCACTAGGTTCTTGTGATGAGTTTTCCCAATTGCTTTCATTTCATTTCTGAAATCTCTTTCTCCTTCATCCACCACTTTTTCTAGTCTCTTGATGGCTACGACTCTCTTGCCTTTGGAAATGACTCCTCTGAAAACTGTCCCATAAGCACCTTTACCGAGTTCATCCTTGAAATTATTAGTTGCAACTTTGAGCTCGTTGTATGTAAATGATCTCAAAGTAACATCTTCCACAAATCCAACATTTCCCATATTGACAATCCTTTTGTACTTCCGAATGCGAGATCTATGTATGAGAACACCGGCAGCTGCTAGAACAAGAAATGAAAGTGTCGAACACGCAATACTAGAAATGAAGATGTCCATTCTCAGCTCCCTACGCTTTCTTTTCCCTCTCTGTGCACCAATCTTCAGAAAACTTGTCGCTCCAATAGTTGATTTTCTTTTCCCAAATCTTAATGGCAGCTTCAGCTTTTTGCAATTTCCATTTTCATACAAGGCAGCTTCACAGTTACAATCTCTAAAACATTCCTCTTTGCAAGCATTTTTCTCTATTGATGAGAGAGTAGAATATGCATCAGCATACCATAATACATCGATCAGCTCATGAACATCAAAACTAGGCTCACCCTTGGTCGTGCAAGCATCAACACTGCTATTTCTCCTGCATCCCAAATTCTTCTGACTTCGGTCTATATAATCAAAGCCACTTGGGCATTGGCATACAGGATCACTATAGATTAGATTACAGTAGCTATTCAGGCCGCACAAGCCTGTTGGACTGCATTTATCATCTAGGGACGACCATTCGATTGACCAATTATCAGATTGATTCAGGGTATGTGAATACAATCGGAAAATTCCATCGGCATCAATTGTAGCTCGGTACGCTGCTTTTAGTACACTCGCCTTGTCCGAAATATTTTTTATGTTGGATCCGCTGGCATTTAGCAGGTATAGTTGACCATGGATGTTAAAATTCAAGGTCACACCATTTCCGGCTTCATATGTTTTTGTATACCAGTAAGCAGTGTTCGCATTTGCTTCTTCTACATGGTATTGCACCAGGTTCCCATCTGTTTGCATAACAATTACAAATTTCCCACTTGTATGATTTGTCTCGGAGACGTTGGAAACCAGCTTGTTGGGCGGCACCAGACGTTGATTAGGTAAAATGGTGTCTGTCGGGAAGTCGAAAGTCTGCCATATGATCCCTGAACTCCAATTGAAGAGAACAAAGTTACCAGAGTCGAGCATGGCGGCTGACGATGCTAATTGATCAGAAGTATTTGCGATGACCAGATCTTGGCCTTCCTTTGATCTCACAATAAGCCTACCTTGAGTGCTTAAAAGCAATTGGACATCACTGGGGAACGGTGGGTCATCTCGGTTAGCCGTCCATACAACTGTTTTCTGCTGGATATTTTCAAACCAAATGCCCACAGAGAAGCCATTGCCATACGGATAGAAACCAAAGGCGAACTGGCCAGACTCTGATAGCCAATAAGAATTGTTATTGGGTGAAAGAGAAGAACCAGGGCTGATGCTAGAATTTCTTGGTTGAGCATTTGCTGTGCTAAGTATACAACTTAGAAGAAGAAGAAGAAGAAACAGAATCATAAATGCCATTTTTTGGATGATAGAAACTTTCAGTTCCTCCTCTCTCCTTGTGATGAAGAAAGGTAAATCATCCTTGTTGTTTGAATGCATTAGGACGTGTAATGGAAGTTAGAAATAAGGACCCCAATCTTACCAAGTCAATACTCTAATCTCTCAGTCATAACCTTTGAATTCAAATAGTTGAAGTTCCGGAAGATTTAATAGTGGACGTAAAATTGAAGTTTGGCATTTGAAAATTACAATTCAAATAAACTTATATGCATAATATATTTTTTAATCATACAAATATAAAGCTAAGAAATTTACTGATAGATTAAAAAAAAAATTGTAAGCACTTACTAGTAAGCAAACCCTCAATTTAATGGCAAAAATAATACTTTTGACTCTGACTGCCCAAAATAGATGGGGTCTGGGAGTCAAATACAAACTTAAAATGAAGACAAAGAAATAAATTTGTTTTGCTTAGCGTGAGCTTCAAACCAAAAATAATATTTCTCACTCTTTCCCTCTTCTATGTATTGAATCAAAATGTTGGGAGAAAAAATAATGTAATTTTTTTATTTGAGATTTTTAGAAATCGAATTTTGATTTTGAAATAAAAATTTAACATTCAATCAATAGATTATTGATAAAAAAAAAAAAAAAAAAAAACAGATTATTGGTAAAAACTACGTAATTTTCAAAGTTAAACGGACCAAATAATTTTATTTAGTTTATAATTACTTACTTTTCATGGTGTTCTTCAACTTCATTTGAAATACCTATCCATCTATTTTCTTCAATACAGGACAGCCTAAACAATGTCAAAATTTGTGTGCTACACGTTCGCGTTCATGACTAAAATCGGATAGCTATTTGGTATCAAGAAATTAATACACGAAATCAGTTTTGAAAACAAAAATTCCCTTCCGTATAGAATAAGGGAGCAATGCACGGTTAGGCGTCTAGGATATTTATTCAAGCTTCCATCCACCCAACTTAACTTACAAACGTAGGAAAATCCGTAATTGCAACTAAATTTTATTAAATTATTATATCATGGATGTGTTTCTATCTCAAAGCTCAATTTACCTCAAATTAGGAAATTTTAAATCTTATTTAAAAGTCTTCACAATTTCAGTTTTAAATTAAGAAATTTTAAATTGCTCAATTTGGATTTTGGATTAATTCTACGTAATATTAATCTTTCAATAGGTAGGAACAGAAAATGAAGGAAAAAGAAAAGGGTGAGGAAAGAAAAAGAAATGAAAGAAACAAAATTATTTTTCACCAATTATATTTGGTATGAACAATGAAAAATACAAAGAAACGGAAGTGGATATGGATAAAATTATTAATTAAAAATTTTTTTTTTCATTCAACATATCTTTAGGGAGGCAAATGCTTATGCAACAAGGAATATCATTCAACTTTAACTGTTGTTCAGAATATATCCATGTATAAACTGTAGTATCCCATTACAAATGGATTATATCTCATGAATAGATTATTAAAAACTGAATCCAGCAAGGTTATGTAAGTAGAGTGAGAGGAATGAGAATTGTACATTTACTCCTTCCCTTCAGCAGCATAGAGTGCTTTAATTTCTTCAACATCATCATAGCTGCCAAGAAATATCGGAGACCGCTCATGAATCTTTGTTGGAACCAAGTCAAGTGCCTGCAAAAACAAATCAGGTTAAACAGGATCATTGTCAGCAAGATATTAGCAATTATGTGCTTCAGTTCATGGTGTCTACGAAAAATTTAAGAACATATCACACTACTGCAGTTTTTTTTTTCCTTTTTTTTTTCTGAATAGAGTTGACTTCATTTATACTGCAGTAAGTTTCTAAAACAAAAATCATTGTAACGTTGAACTAAACTTACAGAAAAAACAGAAGCATTTCTCTATCACAGTTAACACAATAATTTAGTTAATCATTAGATCATCTTGATAACAAAAAAGTTTAAAGTAATTACCCGTTGCTTGCCAGTGAATGCCTGACCTCCAGCTTGTTCCATCAAGAACGACATTGGAAAGACCTCATAGAGAACACTAGGCACACAAATTACTCAAACTTAGTAAGAAATTAAACACGTTTGACAAGCCTGCAAGTAAAAAATTTTAAATGGAAGTTAAAACTGCATTTAACGTACCGTAGCTTCCCATTGGGGCTCTTCTTATCTGCAGGGTACAAAAAGATACCCCCATAGAGTAGTGTGCGATGGACATCAGCTACCATGCTGTTCATCACAATGTCATTATCATAAACCAAAGTCCATATTAAAAGAAACAAATCCAAATCGATCATAAACCAAACAAAAATTTCTAGATGTGAGAAAATTAAATAGCACTGCTAATCATTTATGCAGATAAAAAATTGTCCAAAAATAGTGCATCATCCTAGCAACCTCATACAAAAAGCATATGGTACTTCCAGAAAAAGAGTAACTGTAATGACCACAAACAGAACAGATATGCCAATTTCAAAATAGATCCATGATCAGATTCTTCACTTTTTGATACAATAATAAATCTGCTTAGGTTTTCACCACTCAAGACGATATATGTAATTTATAATTTTTTTTTTGGATCCTGCAAACAAATGTTCAAGCTAAAATCTCCAAACTTCTCTTAATCTCCATTATCTTTTTCTGTCTTTTGAAGGAAGGGAGGTTGTCTTTTTCCTATTACTTATCCTTAAACATCCACATAGTGCATCCTCTATGAGCAACATTCATCCCATCTCAATTAATCAATGATAGACTTCATTGTATACCAGAATCAGTATAATGGAGATAAAGCAGGCATGGTAACGTCAGTTACAATAGAATCAATTATACCTTCCGATATATCTCAGAGACTTTGAAGAGGAACCATCCTTAGGGAACTTGCATTTTTCCACATACCTGAAGTTCAAAGAAAGAGTGAGACAACTGCAAAGAAAAAACAAGTAGAAAATAAGACACTTGTAAACTGAATTAAAATATACTTGGTCGTTGGACCATCCCAGTTCTTAGCATTTCCTTCATTAACTGAATAGATCTTCCCTTTCTTTGGAATCTGTTAAAAGGACATATCATACACTAATGCTTCTAAATTATCCCAAACAAATCAGAGCTTCTATACAGAGACAAAATATGGACATTATAATGTAAAAACAATTCAAAAAAGAAGATGAAGAGCCATTTGGTCATATTTTCTTTGATGATCATGAATGGTTCAGAATACTAAAATGATTTTAACTTTGGACCATCGGGAGTGGCATAAAACTTGCACCTAAAGACAAGGATGTACAGAATTTCTCTTCGTTACAACTTTGTAGACCTAGGGCAAACCCTTAGTGCAATTATTTGCTAAAGAAAATTGATTTTGAAGTTTATTAAACTCAACTGCTTGCAAAAGCAAGAGTTTTCACATTCAATCCAAAGGTATAAGAAGATGGACTAGCAAATAGAGTAAACAGCTAATCACATGATTAATCATATACTCACATAACATGATTAATCCAATACTCACATAACAAATATACCTTGATGTCTGGGTGAGTTAGTATGAACTCTCCAAGAGATGGATCAAGGGTGAATCCATTAACTCCTCCTCCTGTGCTCAATACAAGCTGCAAAACCATTACATTTAAGTATGAAATGAAAGGCCATACTACAGAAAGTAGCCGTAAAATTACAAATTCCTTACATCAAGGAAAGAAAAACTGAGAATAAAGATAGCTGACTTATTTCAAGAAATACTTAAACAGATAGACTTATTTCAAGAAATACTTAAACAGATATGCTATTAGAAATGGAATTCTTTCTTAACAGATATGTACTTTCATCATTAGCCCTTTTCCCCACTCTCCCATTGCAACAGAAAAGAAAGTGAAAAAAAAAAAAAAAAAGACAAAGAGAAAGTTCACATGGAAAAAGTTAAGCACATAAAAACAAGTGAAGTAAACATTATACCGTGCAAGAGCTTCCATACATGCAATAGCCAGCTGCCAACATATGCTTCCCAGGTTGCAGCACATCAGCTAAAGTTGGTTCATGGTAATCTTTGACCGTGTAAATCCCAAAAATCTATATGAAAAAGAACACATTCAGTTGACCACTGCAATGTCAAGTTATCTTAGAACAACAATTACTTGGCACATATTTGGTACAGGAACTAATAAGACAAAATATGACATAGCATTTCGGGATGAGGAGTCATACGGTTCCAATAGAAACTGCACAATCGATGTTGGAGGAACCATCCAGTGGATCAAAAACAACACAGTACCTGCATTATTTAAGACAAGTTCATATCAAATGTACTTTTTAATACAATGGAAACAACATTCATTAGAAACAGAGCAGAGAGCAACTGAAAGAACCTTCCACGCTTTGAGGGCTCCACAAACGTTGCCTCTTCATCTTCTTCAGAGACAAGGATGCACTGTATAACAACCAAATATGTAAAGAAAAAATCATGACATCTCCAATGTTTACCAAAAATTTCATTCAACTACTCACTGTTCGGCCACTGCTTACTAAAGCCTTGATAAACACTTCATTCGAAAGCACATCCAGTTTCTTTTGCTCCTCACCCTTTATTCAACAATAGACAACCTTACTTAGTATGAGATATGAATAGTACAGATATAAACAAACTATTCATTTGGCAACTACTTGCCTGAACATTAGTCTCCCCAGCAAGTCCAATGAGTTTGGCGAGACCAGCCTGCACCAATAAGCAACAAACAGATTACAATCACTTATACGAATAAGACCGACAAATACTATCATACTCATACCAGCTATCCCAAAACCATAATCTGATAATAAAGGGCCCAAATTTTACTTATTTGAACAGAACATGACCCAGTTTGGCCAAAAAAAAAACACAGAAGATGACCCATGACTGGAAAAAAAAAAAAGAATGGAGAGAAGATTCAAAGAAAACCCCATTAAGAAGAAAGAAGAATGTATTAAAGGAAGACCTTGTTAACAGCAGAGCAAACAAACTTGCAACCAAGAACGATGTGATTAAGCAGGATGGTGAAATCTCCACGAGACTCAGGATACTTAGATTGCTCGTTCAACACGAAACGTGTTATTGTCATCAAATCAGTCCTATGAGCATCTGCTGCATGATCCATCTCTCTCAACTATTCCAAAAACACAAAACAAAGCAAAGAGAAAGAAAAATAAAGCAACAACAACGACAACAAAAACTATAAAAAGGAAGAAGAATATATATTTAATAAAAGAGAGATTGGTTTGCTTTTTTCGAGGTGGGGAGGAGAAAGAGAGGATAAAGACTGTTTGGGGGCAGTGGGTGATTGGTGTGGGAGGGGTTATCTGTTGGAAATGGAAGTTTCAGGGGACAATTGGAGGTATAAGAGCGAGGCAGTGAGGGAGTGGTCGTCACTGAAGATAAGAAGTTAATGGATTTCGTCGTCTTTCTTGTCTTTCAGGTTTCGGCAGTTATGAGGTTTCTTGTCGTGTTTTCAGTGAAGCGGACGAGGTAGTGTACTTCGAGGAAATTTAATTTTACAAATAATCATATTTTTTCTGTTTCAAACAGAAAGGGTCCAAATTATAAATTAGTGAATTGCATATGTGAAAGTATGTTTTGTGCGTTCATTTTTAAAATAAAAAAATATGAAAATAATAATTATATAAATTGAATGTTTTAAAAAAACTAATTAAATAATTAAAATAAATAAAAAATTTAAATAAAAATCAATTCATAATGTTAATAAAAAAATAATAATAAAATGAACTTTAATAATTGCGTATTATGCAGGCAAGAAATGGAAACCAGGGACCATATCTTTTTTGGTTGCAGCTACTCCAAGCACATAATGAGGCAGGTAATGCAGCGATACAATTTAAGCCAGGGAGGTTGATGACTGGGCTGTAAGTAGGCATTGAGGGCAAGCACTGGTTTCAGTTGTGTTGCGCCTAGCATGGGGAGGATTATCATATCTGGAGAGAGAAAGGAATAGGCGAGTCTATGGCTAGGAGAAGAAGACAAGTGCACAGGTTCTGAGGCGTATAAAGGAGGCTGTTTTGTGAGGTTGCTTGGTCTCAAACACATTCATGCTGATCCATTTTTTTATTTGTAATTTCTTTCTGTGCCAGTAGTAGCTAGTACAATTATAGCAGAATATTACTTGGTATAAATAAAATTGATACCTTTGAAACCTCTTGTTCTGCTATTTGAATGAAGAGAATGGTTAATGAGGCTATCTGAATAAAGGAAAAAAGGAATGAATGGGCAAAGTGAAGACCAGAAAATCAAATGAGAGAAAGAAAGATCAAATAAAAAATTTCATAAAATCCAGAGACAATGAAGAAAGAATGAAAGGCTATGTGGGTTTTTAAGGCTGTAAAATGAAGAAGACGGCTGTAGAATAGAGAAGAAATATAAGAGGCATTTATTTTGGAGACCTAATGATTCGAATCTTGCCTCTTTAGGTATTTATTTCAAAATTTAAAAAAAAAAATTCATGTGTTTAACTTCTTCATTTTTTAAAAATTATTTTCATTGAAAATAATTAAAATAATTTTTTTTATTTTTTAATTTGGATCTATTTTCATTTTCTAAAAACATTTTTTAATTTTTTGAACCAAACAAGTTTTTTAACTTATTTTCCATTTTTTATGAAATTGAAAATGAAATGGAAAATGAAAAACACGTGTTTTCACGAACTAAACACTACTTCAATTTTACAAATAATCAAATTTTTTCTGTTTCAAACAGAAAGGGTCCAAAGATAAATTAGTGCCTCCATTTTTAGGTATTTCCTTATTTGGCACGAGTATTACAACAATTATTCTTATAACACCATGTAGGGCTCAAATCGTTTGAATTTGTTTTTCTTTTTCCTGCCATTTTAGTTATTATAAAAAAGGAAAGGTTTAATTACTTAAAATTTAAAATCTAGCCCAATATGTCAAGCCAATTACTTTAGTGGAAGTACGTAGTAGGTGAATTTATTGTAATGTAATAAATTTAGAAACACCATGTAGGGCTCAAATAGTTTGAATGTGTTTAATTTTTTCCTTCCATTTTAGTAGTAGTAGATGAGTTTATAGTGATGTGATAAATTTATTAAATTAATTCTTTTTATCATATATATATATATATATATTCTAAAGATATTTAACAAAATAAAAAAGGTTTATTACTACTCTCACATATTATTTGTTATGATTTTTATGGAGTTTGAGAAAAAAAATTTTGATTTTAATATATTTAACATTAAAATTTTAAAAACAAATTTATAAAATTAAAGCTTCGTGATTTTTAATACCAAAAAATAAAAAATCATAAAAAATAATTTTAAAATATAAAAAATAAAAGTTTTAGATGAAAGAAAATATGATATAATTTTGAGATATCCCAAAAAAAAAGATTGACAAAATAAATGGGACAAAGGGATTAAAAATTTAGTATTTTTATAATGTGATCAAAGATTTTAAGTTTTATTTAAGCTTAGTCTCAATGGTCTTAAGGGAGTGTCCTCTCACATTTGTAGAAGTGGCAAAGCTGATCCAAACTTGAGAACCCATCTAAATCGATCCGTGATAGAATTCGGATTAACCCGAATTGGTAAAAAAATAAAATATCAAAACTCAAAAAAATCCAAATCAGAAAAAATTTGAATCCAAATAGCTTTCATAACCAAAATCTATAATATTCCAAACTTGAGATCAATCCGATATTAAACTTGCCAAAAACCGAATTATAACCCAAGAAAATCAAAATTATAATTATATGATATTTAAATAAATAAAAATAAATATTGTTTTTAACTAAAAACTTTAAATTTTAAAAATATTACTATTGATAATTATTAAATAATTATATCAATAATAATCAACAAAATTAATAATAAATTTTTAATTTCAATTATAAAATAAACTTAATTTGAAACACACTAAATATTAATATCTAATCATTTTTAATATTATCATTAATTATATTTACAATAATTATCAATATAAAACAAAAAATAATATCTAATGATTTTTTCATATGCCACCAATTCTTTTTGTTTATTTTGTCGTAATTTTTATCTTTTTATTTTAATATTAGATAAAAAGAAATTTAATTTAATTTAATTGATTTATTTGTAACTATTAAAATTAAAATTAAAGTGAGAATAGAATTAATTATTATTGATAGTAAATTAAAGTATAACTTAAAAGTTTATTACATTAGTAATAATTTTAATACAATTAATTTTTATACTTTATTGATATTAAGATTAATTATATTTAAGTAATAACATTTGTTAGACTTTAGGTTATTAGCATTATATTAATTAATTTAATAATATTTACTATTCAATATTCGAATTGAACATTTGGTCAATTGATATATATCAAATATTATTATATTTATGTAAATATTAATGTCAAAATAATATTCTTTTTAATAATGTCTATTATTCAACTATGTAAATTTTGAATATTTTAACTTTCAATTGAATTTGCACAATAGATTAAAAAACAATTAACAATATTTAAAAACAAATTTAATATATATTATTTTGAAAATTTTAACATTAACATTTTTGTAATACTTTTATTTAATTATATAAAAAATTAAATTAATCCTTAATTCAAAATTATAAAAATATGTTTATAACTTATAAAATTTACAAAATTTTCGAACTTATCAAAACAGTAAGCTCGCTCAATTTAAATCAAATTGAATTCAAAATAATTTATATTTAAGATAATTTGAACTTAAAATTATCCGAATCTAAAATTATTCAAATCCAAAAGTGCTAGAATCCAAAAAAATTCGAATCCTATACCATTCAAACCCAAAATGAATCCTAACTCAAAAAATTGGAATCCAAAGACAATTCAATTCAAAGCCACTTGATCCGATCCATTTATCACCTCTACACATCTACCTTATTCATTCAAGATTTTATTGTTACTAGGCTTCAAAGTTTGAATCCAAAATTCTGCAATATAGGCCAGTTTAAGGCCTGCTAGTAAATGAGCTCAATCCCCATAATGCAATGTAGATAGGTTGAGATTTGAGAATCACTGATTACTGCTCGGGTTCTTTGAAACCTATACTCCTTTTAAAGACCAAAAATTTGCTTTGAAATGTTTCCTTTAATTTCAATTTGTGCATCAACATCTTCCCATATGCTTCATTTATGAATCTTGAATATTAGTTGGCTGATTTTTTCTTTTTTTTTAACAATAGTTGGCTGAATTATAAATGTAAGTAAAGAAGGTTTTGCTCCATGGTTTAATTGACTTGTCCTTTCATTTTTTTTTTTGGGACTTATTCAACGAGCATTTTCAAGAAAATTTTGAGGAACTCACTTTCACGTCTAGACAAATTTCCTTTTTCACTACTTAAATCCTTTATATATCTTCCGTACTTATATATATGTATGTACAAGCATGTACGTGTTTGAATATCTAACATCAATTCAACAACACTTACAAAAAGAAAAAGCAAAAACAAAAACAAAATCTTCATTATCTACGTTTGTAAAAATGATCAAAATGATCGAATTTATTTGTTTTCTGAAACATGAGTCTAAAGAACTAAATTTCTATAAAGCAGGTTTAGAGTTTAATGTCTTTATTCTTAAGTTTTTGAATGATGATTTTGACGAAATGTCTAAACCATGAGACTCTGTAACATACAACGGTCAAATGTTGTTTAGCAAAAATAAAAAAGTCTTCGTTATCGACGTGTTATAAACTTATTTTCAAGTTAGATTATTAAGTATCATTGCTAATGAAAACGCTAATCTTAGCGGTTCTGAATGGTACTGCTTACCAAATGGTTCTACACTTCTACTTCTTGATATTTAAAGTCGCATGAAAATCACACCCCTCCCCACTCCCATTAGTGAAACACAGAAAAGTGTAAATGTCAGGAATGATGCAGACACAACATGTTTGGGACCCAAAGGTTTCAGCTTACTAGAAAACCTTTTCGCTTCAATTTTCGTATGGAACATGTTCCCATGTTTTTCCCTAATATCAAAATTAGATTAACCCACCATAAAAGATTGTCGGTAAATTTATGTTTAAAGAAAACATTTAAATGCGTTTAAAAAAATTTTTTCCAAATTGTTTTATTTTTCAATTTTTAAAAATGTTCATAACACCCTAATGAATGAATCCGCTCTCGTACAAAACAAGAGATATCTTAATTTTAAAATTTCGAGCTTAAATTTTATTAAGGGTGAATCTGGTAACCATTATATATTGTTTCACCGATGAAATTAAATTTAGGTTTGTATTATGTTGATTCTATTGGTTTAGACCTGATCATAAGTACTTTTAGCCATATAAAGAATGGAATATCTCCAGGAGCTTGACATTTTGTAAGGAACTAGTGTTACATGTGACATTGCTTTCATTTGAGGATAAAGGAGAGTAGAAAAGAAAAAGTGAAAGGGATAAAGAGGATATGCACGAGGTTTTGTCCGGGGATTTTTGTGTTAATTCTTAAGCATCTTTAGCTTTCTTATTTTCTTTG